ACTTACTGTCTCTCCTCTTATTTGCTAAGGGAGTGTTTGCAACTGCTTTTGCTTAAAAAAAACACTTTTGGAAGTGAATTTGGAAAAAGTGATTAGTAGTGAAAGTTGATAGTGTTTGAGAAAAAATTGATTTTGAAAAGTAAATATTGGTAGTGTTTGGTAAAATAAGTGCTTTTTGTGTAATAGAAAAAGTAAAAAACACTTTTCACATGAAAGCCGACAAACGCTTTTTTAAGTAGAAGTTGTCATTTGAAAACACTAATTTTAGCTTTTTTAAGCCAAAAGCTGAGAAGCGCTTTTTTTAAGCTATTGCAAACACTCCCCAAGTACTTGTGACTTTTCACTCGCACAACTCACTAAATTTACGTTGAAGCCCAAGGGAACGAGTTGGGCCCTTGAAGTTGGATGAATTAACCTCAACATCAGAAGTGGGGGACTTGTGTTGGGGTAATTGGCCCAATATAAGATATGCCCAATACCCCATAAGAAGTAGGGGATCAAGAGTAATGACCCATCAGAAGGAACACCCGACGCTAGCTCGTCAAGACTCATACGATGCTCATCGCCTGTACCTTGGCCCATTTAAGCCAAGTAGTCAACGGGGGCCTCAGTGGAGACGCTCGGCATACCCCGAGCGGCACCTTGGTCTTGCACTTACCTTGGGTCAGGGACCATGAACGCCTCAGATGGGGCATCCCACATAGTTTACTCTGGAGCTATTGTGTGCTCTGGTGCGCACGTGTACAATGTCTACTGCCATTGGACTGACTGAGTCATCGTGACTTTACCTCATCCCAAATGCTTTGTCGGGTTGAGGTTGGGATTTCAACCTTCTGAAACATCAATCGCTTTAGACAAAGGAATAATGACGAAAATAATGATCCAGACTTTCTGTTAGACAAAAATAAGACATGTTCTCAAATTGGACAAAAAGAGACTTAGTATTACCAACTGGACCAAAATACCCTTTAATTACCCTATCCTTCTCCGCCATTCTCTTTTGAAATCTCTACGACTCTGGGCTCCAGTGGTGGCCTGGTGGGCATCCAACGCCCCAAGCCACAGCCACACCTCCATCGCCGCAAGCCAGAGCCGCACCTCCATCACCGCAAGCCCAATTTGAACCACCATCGCAGCAAGCCAGATCCGAACCACCATCGCCGCAAGTCATCTTCTTCTCTTCTTGCGACCTCCATCGCTGCAAGCCAGATCTGAACCACCATCGTAGCAAGCCATATCCGAACCACCATCACTACAAGTCATCTTCTTCTCTTCTCGCGATCTCTACATTTGCTTCCAATAGGCTTTTGTGACGATGATATTCACCTATCCAGTGCACTAGGGTATCGACGGCGTGCGATTTCGGTGTCAGGGCGATGAGAATAAGATGCCAAATATGGTTACGGGCGATGGTTGTGGGATGGAGGTTAGGCGCTAGGGTTGGGGGTACTGTCAGTTGGGGTTAGGGGCTGAGGTTGGGAGCCAAGGATGGGCTGATTGGGATGGGGTTGGGCTTGTGGGGGTGGGGCATGACTAGGATGATGATGGCAAGAAAGTGTTGGGTTGGGGGGTGATGGGGGAAGGGTGGTGGGTAGGATTGTGTGCATAGTGGAGCAGGCGGCATCGGTGAATATTGGGTGGTGGTGGTCAATGTCGCTCAGTGGTGGTCACCAGAGTCACTATTGACAACGGTGACTTTCGAGGCGGCGAGGGTCACCGACGGCAACGACAGTGACATGTAATTGTAATTCGTGAATATGTTATTGCCCGAAGAAATGTAATTGTCACTAGTATAATTGTAATTAATACAATTGTAATGTTAGTCACTATTATAACATTGGTCACTTACAGTATGTAACTGAGCGATACAAGAGTGGCCTAATCTGGCAGGTCACTGTGGGTGACGAGGTCACTACGGGTGGCGATGTCACTTTTTCGGAAATTCACTATGGTGAGCGATAAGGTTGGTCACTATGATCGGCGATGTTCACTACCCAGATGATTAACGGGTGTTGGTCACTAATGAATTTTTTGTCACTATTGATTTTGGTCACTGACGAGTTTTTTATTTTTGGTCACTAATGATTTTTTGTCATTGTTGGACTTTGGTCACTTTGGTGTTTCTAGGACAAAGGCATAATAGTCTCCTAACCTTTTTAGTCTCATTATTGAAAATTGGAAAAAAAAAGTCACCTTTTAGTCCTTGAGTTTTTGCCATTTTTGGTCCCTCGACTATTATGTTAATGACATTTTTGGTACTCGACTTCTAATTGTTTCATTTTTAGTCCTTGACTATTGTGCTAGAGACATTATTAGTCCTCGACTTCAAGGTTTCTCACATTTTGTCCCTGAGTATTGTCAAATTACCACTTAGTCCTCTCATTATGATTTTGACACAATAAGTGGAGGACTAAAAAAGTCCCTATTATAATAGTTGAAGGACCAAAAGTGTCACTTTTATGAAAGTTGAATGACTAAATATGGAAATTTTCAAACACGGGTACCAAAAGTGTCTCTAGCGCAATAGTCAAAGACTAAAATGGAAAAAATCAAAGTCAAGTGCCAAAATTGTCAATGACATAATAATCGGAGGACTAAAAGTGGAAAAAATTCAATTGGGGAAAAAAGTCACCTTTTGTCCATAGTTCTTTTTTGTAGTAATATTTTAGACATAACCTCTAGACAAATTATAGTGTACTCGGGGCTGCAGTACGTAACTTGTATACATAATACGGAGTACCAATTACTACATACTCCCTCCGGAAAATACATATTCCGGACCAGTTAACTTGCAAAAATCATTTGACGACCTTCCCGATCGAATTTTGAGCTGAAATTTGGTATGGACAAACTTGACTTGATGAGGAACATGCTCAAAAAATTTCATCAAAAAATTCCACCGGGAAGGTGCCCAAACGGGCTCGGCCGGACGGGGCAGCCCGTCAGGCCGGCCTGACATGAAGTTCTCTCTCTCTCTCTCTCTCTCTCTCTATATATATATATATATATATATATATATATATATATATATATATATATGGGTAAGATTCTAATGAGAACACCTCTTATTGTGAGAAGTGAGAACAAATCCTAACCAACCATCTTACTAAATGATTGGCTATTACGTAATTGGTGCACATTATAACGATGGACTTCAGCACATGGTAGATTGTCTCTTGGAGTCGGAATAGGTGCGTGGAAACAATAATGGGCAAAATATTAATTAAGAGAGTAGATTCCTTTTATGAGGGGGTGTCTTCGGTCTTCTATTGTGACGGTTAGAGGGTCACTTTCCAAAAAATAGGCATAAATAAAGACTTAAATCATATAGAATATTTTTAGTTTAAAATTGATTTAACTTTTTATATTGTAATCCAATTTTATCAAAAATTATATCAAATTAAATAATTTTTTTATCTTTCATATGACACCAATATTGGATATATAATTTTGTCTTTTTAAAATAAGCACAATATGTATACTATAAATCACTACAAGCATTTTCAACTATTGTGCACACAAGAACATATATATATATATATATATATATATAATGCACAACCATCAATATTTAATGCACACGAAGAGTAATATCTTACACATAATTTGTATATAAAACACCATAACAAGTATCACATTCACAAAAAACATTATCTAACACACAAGAATGAAAAACTAATATCTAACCAACAAGGAGTTCATATAGTACACATGAACTAGTATGTAAAGCACAATATATCTACCTTAAACTCTTATTTAACAAATAATATGGACATAGAGAATCACAACAAATATGTCATGCACAAGAACCATTATCAAACACACAATCCTGAATATGTAATGCACATGAATCGATATCTGACACACAACACATTTATGGAATTCACATAAATCAGTATCTAACTCACATTTCGTATATACCATAAAAAAGAAAATATGTGTTGGAAAAATATAAGAATGATATGATAATCAACAATTAAGGAGAGAGATTCATTATTCCCTTACAAAATAGAAACTATTTCTATAGTTACGTATGCCAAATCACGTGAGTATTAAAATGGAATATTTAATAGGATATGGAAATTAATCTTTCCATTGAGAGAACTGTAGAACAATCGGATGTATTAACTACCAACTTGTGTTATACGATAATGCCCTTTAGTTAATCGCAGATGAACATGAGATTTGGATGGTTATGATTTGTTCTCACTTATCACAATAAGAAGTGTTCTCATTTGAATCTTACCCTATATATATGAGAAAGAGAGGGCTTGGACATTAGCCCAAAAAGTCTCGTGGTTTTCTCCCTTTCCGGGTTTCCACGTAAAAATAACTAGTTCATACACGTTTTATATAATTATTTACTTTTATACCGAATCTATCATCCTTAATATCCGAAGTTTATGTTGGGCTTTCTGATCGGCGGGACAAAACCTCAACAATATTAATAATGATGATGATAATAGTAATAAATTACTCCCTCAGTCCCATTTTGTAAGATACTTTTCACATTCACTTGATCAATACAAATTCCTCTTTATCTTTGACTTTAGATATCAAGTTTTTATCAAATTTGATTATGGTTTTTGTAACTTTGTAATACTTTTAATGTAGTTAGTGAATATGTAATTCTTTTTTTCTAAAAATAATTTGAGTATAGACATGGATCTATTTGCTTTATCATCGGTCAAACATCGTAAACCGTAAATTGTCTTACATTTCGGGACGGAGTAATATTTAACTGCACCAATTTAACTGTAATACACCTACTAGAATGGTAATATTATTGATGGTTCTAATAGTAACGGTAGTAATAATACTACGTATTAAAAATAACAATAATAATAGTTTTTCCAAATATTTGGTCTTACTTAAATGTTTTTATTCTAATCCAAATATTGTCACTAACATTGAGACATGATGATATGGTACAGTTGTTAAGAAAATGAATTTGTGTGATTGATGTTGAATTAAAAATAAAGTTATAATAAATAAGAAGATTTCAAACCAAACGGATTTTACCAAATTTAATATGATACAATCTTAATGGAATGAACTGAAAAGAAAAGATTTAACCAAAGGTTACATTGTTTTCAGTAAATTTGAGTGGGCCCATAGCTGACTTAGCCCCTCGTGGCTACGCCCCACTCTAACCATGGACGGCATCGGTACGTTTTAAACGGAAGCATAATTACAACTTTCTCAATTACTGGCTGATCGGTAGTTAGTCATTACCACCCATGACCCATTTTGTACGATTCATTCATGATTTAAATAGTTAGTGACCTTGAATGCACTTGTCAATAATTGGAGGTGTAAGGTCACTTTTCCCTTTTAGTCCCCTCCCCCTCCCTCTCTCTCTCTCATTATGTTTTGTTGAATGTCAGCAAGTTGCAACTTTGCAAGTACACACAATATGCAAAAATGGAGGGGCATAATCTAGTCATATGCTGTAGTACCATGTACTATAATGCGTTACCTCTCTGTCCATTTCCGGTATGGAGCACCGAGCACCCATTATAACATTATTATAATGAAGAAAAGAAAAGGAGGACAAGAAAGAAAGGAAGAAAAAAAAACTCACAAAATTCTACAGTACTGGTTGCAGACATTACATTAACTACTTCTACTGAATGACCCAGACAGGGCCACATGCAGGGCACAACCAGCCAATGACCAAATGGCCCCAAAGGATCAAATGCCATTCTTTCCACATCATCATCATCATTTACATTACAGAACATGCATTGGGGTTCTCATCACTGAACATATTTGGGTAACCATACCCATATACCTCCTGGGCAAACCTTTGTTGGTGAGGGTGAGGATTCACTTGGTAATGGCTTTGAGCGGGGTAATAGTAGTAGAGCTCATGCTTTCTCAGTTCCAACTTTGGGTCTTCTTGATGAACAACTTCACCCTCCTCTTTCTTCTCCCCTGCGTTGTCGGTCGTCGTCCCTTCTTCGCCCTCCTTTTCCCCACTCTCGTCTCCCGCTTTTTTCTCGTCGTCTTTTTTCTCCTCTTTGCCTTCCTCCGTCTTCTTCTCTTCCTTCTTCGGCTCCACCTTCACCACCACCGCTCGTTTGCCCGTCTTCTTTACCACATACTCTACTAAGCTCTCCGGATCAAAAACGCCATTCACCGTGACTTGCGAGCTCTTGAAGTCAGGTTCCACACTCTCCACTCCTACAAGACGTTCCAAAAGAAGTATAAGATGCATTGGGGTTAAATTTAGATTTCAGATTCATTATAAAAGACAAGCCTAATAGGAAGGAAGAGTGCTGAAAATATTTACTCCGTATTACTCCTTTTGTCATTTTGACACTTCATATTTAACAGGTGTTGGATAAACACTTCATCACTTTGACATGACCTTTTACAAAATAAAGAGGAAATATATCTTCTATTTTTCAGTTGTAATCTTCAAAAGGGAAGATAGAAGTCAACAAAAAGAAAAAAGATGAAATCAAAAGTGAAATGGATAAATTGAGACAATAAAAAGTTAGTGAAGTTGAAATTGAGAAAGTATTCATATTTTTGAGATAAATAAGAAACTATATTTTCTCAAATAGAACGATCTTTGTATTCTCAAATAAAAATATGACTCATTTACTACTAAAATAGAATTATATTCCCTCCGCCTCCAAACCAAATTGATGGTCTTAAACTCTTTCGGTTCAAATATAAAGAAAGTGTTAATTATAGAATAAACCATATAACTTTACTTTATTGCATTTCTCACACCTTTAATTTCACTGTTCATAAAAAGAAGGAAAATAAATGATAATCTACTTTAATTTCTTTACTATATAAAGGGAAATGCAGGAACATCACTTTTGAAAGTAGTAGTAATACTTTTTTCTTTTATAGGACGGAATTAGCCGTACTTTTAAGGCAGACCAAAGATACACTCATGTGCGCACATGAACCCTGTTTAAGACCTATATATATGAAGTAATTTCTTATCACTTAAACAAAAAATTAGGCCTTTTAGAGTCATATTAGCCCACTTGTCCTCATAATCACCATCCACTTTCATAGTGGAGTGACTGGAGTCAGCACACTGGGAAAAATGAATGAGGTGATGATGAAAAAAATTGTGGGATTAGGATTTAGGAGAGAAAGTGAATGATGACTCCATATGTTTTTACTCTGTTAGTTAATGGGTATAATGGAAAATGTCACTGGACTCAAAAGTTCCCAAACATCCATTCACCTCACTTAGTGGACTCTTCCACAACTTTCAAAGATTCCTATGACTTAGGCTTTGAAATTCTTTAGATCTCCAGGCCACAGAATATTCAAGAAAGAATATCTTATCCTAGTCAATGTTCAGATAGTGAAAGGTTGATAATTTAAGCATCACAATGATGCCATCATTCTGTTTTCTAACAATAATTCTTATAATATTCTGTGATAAAAAGAACCGGCCTTTTTCTTTTTAAAAGGCCAAAAGTGCAATAATATAATAATTATTATTAATAAATGATGATTATAATTTAATAAAAAGCAGGAAAATGAATGTACAAAAGAGCTGAAAGTGACATGAAATTTGATAAAGACCTTAAAACAAACCCAACTCTAACTGCTGCCATTAATGAATGAATTAAGTGGTTAATTAATAGCAAGGAAAGGCCGAAAAGGACCACCTTTCATTCTCAAAATCTTCCTTTTGATGGCTTCAGCACAAGCCTCGCAATGCATGTGAGCTTTCAAAACGACTGCAATCACCTGGAGATAACACCAAAACCGTTTTAATCTTTTCTTACTTTACAAAATCCGCCAGAAATACATACATAATACAAGAACCTTTTATTAGCATTATTATTAACCAATAACAGCCAAGATTTAAGCAGGAATTAAGCATGGCGTGACTGAACAATCCAATTCAATGAACCAACCTCTGGCTTTTTCTCCTCCGGCTTAGCAACCTCCTCCGGCGGCTTCTTAGGCTCCTCCTCTGCCGGCGGTGGCTTGGGGATGGGAGATAGGAGCTCCACCTGGCGGTGGCTCTTCTTCTGCACCCTCTCTAGCACCTTCAGTGGATCTGCTTTTTCCCCTTTCACTACAACCTTATGGGTCTTGCAATCAGTCAACACATCTTCAACTCCTAAACCCAAATTTTCAAAAAAGAACATTAAATCTAAAATTAAAAAAAGAATCTTTCTTTGCTATAAAACTCTATTTGATTAGAGCAAACTAATAACCATCGAAATCTTTAAGGCAGCGTCGGACTTTCCGAGCGCAGCCTTCGCAATGCATGAAAACTCTCAACACAATCTCTGGAGGCGGCGGCGGCTCTTTGGATTCTTCCGCCGGAGCCTCGACCTTCTTCTCATCTCCGGCGGCAGCGCTGGGCGGGTCCTCTTTACTTTCAGCAGGTTTTTTCGCTTCAGCGGCGGGTTTCTTCTCCTCCTACACGAAGGGTGGAGGGAATTTCACGAGAAAAGAATCCAAGTTAGAGAAACTGACAGAGACGGAAATGCAGAACAAAGAAGAGAAACCAATTAACTAGCTTTACCTCTCCCATTGGAGTTTGCAGAAGCTAGAGAGAGAGGTGTGGTGAAGCTGAGGCAGGGCTATCTTCTTTAAACAGTGTAGAGTGAGTGCCTTTCTCTCTCTAAAGTATGGGGCTAGAATGATGCCATCAGATTTGGGGGCACCGATTTATGATCGTTGGTCATTCAGATTCGGTGTATATATGGAATTAAAATTTAAAAGTCCTTTCAGAAATTATGAATAAAAAGTTCTAGATAATTCATAATTTCACCTGTGCCCTCACTTATCTAGCTTTTAAGTTGGGTGCATCTATTTTTATTTTACAAATATTACATATATCGTTTGGACACCCCCACATAATAAATTGCAAGTGTCTCGAAACGTACATTCGGTACATACACAATATACAATGTAGTGGGCCACTTTGAAAGATACTACGTCTGTCCCTTAAAACTTTGCCAAGTTTGACCGGCACAAGCATTAATAAAGTAAAAACTGTGTGGTTAAGTTTTGTACAGAATAGAGAGAATTAACTGGAACCACAAATTCTTTACTTAAAAGGGAAAGTGGCAAAGTTAGTGGGACATCCAAAAAAGGAAAGTTGGCAAAGTTTTAGGGGACGGAGGGAGTATTACATAGTCGACAGAAATGAGGAGAAGTCACAATTATTAAGAAAAGTGATTTTTTATATGGATAGATAAAGTAAAAATACAGTAATACGGAGTAATAGTTTAGAACAACACAGTTTTTATTAAATTTGATATGAGACAGTCTTAGTGAGACGAATCGAAAATAATAAATTGGATAATCTTAGCGGGAGTATAAGATTTCAGTATGAGATGCATTTGCAAATATGAATAACATACTATCTCCGTTCTTAAATAAGTGCAACATGTGAAATTTTACACTATTCACATGTTCTACTTTGACTACATTTTATTTATTGATGTATTAATATATATTTTTGAAAAATATATTACTCCGTATTAAATTTGTCTCATTATAAATTTTCAAAAACTGATTTTTTTAAATTTTTTACTAATAGAGAATTATATATATTAATGGTTAAAGTTGTGTTTCCACAAGTGTGAAATGTTGACTGTTGCACTTATTTAAGAACGGAGGAAGTATGAGCTATTTGAAATAGAATTTCAATCAAATGGGAACCATTCTTAACGTGAGAATCGTGAGAACTCCACTTTTAACCCAATATGATACACTATAACATTTGCATGTTACATTTTTTCGTAATTATGAAATATTTACGAATTTACCATCGTAGTTATTTGATTTCTCATGTTTTGAAAAAGTGTAACGTACAAAGGTTATAGTGTATCACATCGAGTTAAAAGTGAAGTTCTCACGGTTCTTATAAGCATGGTTGTTATTAAAAGCGCACTCATTTGAAATATATATATATAAATGAAGATCTATACAAGGAGCTATTTGAAATACAAAGTGCTCCTAATTTACAAAATAAAATTAGCCTTAACAGAGCATTTGAAAGATCTAATGGCTGAAAAATGGATGGTTGTATTTTGGTAATAAAATCAAACCTTTTCAGCTGCAACAGTTTGAATGTTAATATGCAAGTGTTTATTTGATCGCGGAAGAATATGAATCACTTTGAACGACAATATTTGATACAAATAGCGTAAAGATGCAGCGTACACGTTTTTGCATAGTAAGATCACTTTGTACAAGATCTACCCCCTATATATAATTTTACTTTAAAGCTTCATCTTTTTTATAATGACTTATATTAATATTAATATATCATAAAACAGGCGAAATAATAGAAATCATAGTCTGGTGACTCTGGTCATAAATCTTTGGACCAGACTTTGAGACAATCACTCACATAGAAGCATATGTCTTGCTAACCCTCATGCTGGCACATGTAAGCCATCCACTATCGGTCCAGAATTCTCGTCACCATTTAGAATAAATAAAAAATAAATTAGAGCATCGAACCAAATGTTACTACTAAAAATAATTAAAGATTGCATTTGTAAAAACTAAATAGCAACGACTCATCAATGCACGGCCATGTTGCACCCTCACCCGATTCATCTTGGTCGGCACATTTGTCTCGACTTTTTGAACTCCAATACATTTAATCTTGACTCTTCAAGCGCCCAACCTACTTCCGCCACTTTGCCCTTTGGTGGTGGTTCGAGAGGGGGCGGACTAACATCGTCTCTCGAGACAGATTGATGAGCGTGATAAATTGATGACTTTTGAAGATAACAGATATAGGGTTAGAGGAATAGCGTTGGTCCTAAATGAATAAAAGCATAACAACTTTGAAAAGTCTCCATCATTAATAGGGGAAGCAATGACCCATAAAATAACTATCAAAATTGAAAGAATAATAAGAATCCTAGAAATCATAGGGAATACAGTGCCGCTCATATGAGCTATAAGACCACATTTTGAATAACCTTAGTAACACGTGATGATGAATAATGACAACAACTTGAAAAATTGGGTATCCTTACAATCGATTTGATAACAATGACGGCAATAGAAGCTTATGAACAATTCGTTATCTGGCAGCCATGCACCCAAAACCACTCGCACCTTTAGCCTTAGTTACTTTAAAGTTTCATAGATAAATAAAAATGTTCAATGCTCATAATCATGGTAAAATAAAATAAAAGTTAGACTATAAAATTAAATATTATACTCAGATATACTAAAACAACAGAGCTGAATAATATAGACTCGAAATACGTTTCTTTTTGAAAATTTACAATTTTAGCTATATTATTTAAACCATAAACCCTAAATCATAAATCTTAAACCATAAACCCTAGGCATGCATCAATTGAAAGATTGATAGTTTTAAGTGCTCGATATATTCTCTTGTGCGTGTATATGTTTTTTTGAATCGCGTATCCGTCTAGAAATACGAGTATAAGAATTTTTTAACATAGGTCCATTACTTTTACAAAATTATTAATTCAGACGTGATGCATACCTTCAGTGTCGGTGCTAAATACATATTGATATCATATGTGTGGATACGACACCAGGGTAACGTGTCGATGCATCGTAGATGAGCAATATAATGTGATTGTGTTGGCTTAGGATCAAGTTCAATTTTTAAACGAAGAATGAATTTTTTGAACGAGTTTAAAACCCCCAAAATTCAATGATTAATGGACAATGAATCCACATACATGTATCTATAATGTTTAGCAAATTTCATTGAGAATACACAAATATGATGTATAGAATATGGGGGAGAAAGATCGAACAGGGTTCCCTGGTCAACCTTGACGAATTCGGCATCGAAGGACTTGAGATCGTCCTCGCTGGGCTTATCCTCTGACTTCCCAGCCTCGACATGGCGTTTGCAGTACTCGATGACCTTAGCGAGAATCTTGCTGGTGACGTTCAGGAGGGGAATCACAGTATCGGCGCAATCGTCCTCAATCATGTTTTTGATCGTCTGAGATTGCTCAGCCACCATGGATTCGACCTCGAAGGTCTCGCCGTCGAAGCTCCTCAGGACTATCATCTTCGAGGTAGACATTGTCGAGATTGATTGCGAAGTTCGGATCTAAAAATTAATTGGTAGCCCTAAGAGAAGAGAGAACGATTTCGATCTCATCTTGGCCGCCAATTACCTCAACATAAAGAACTTGCTTGATCTCACCTGCCAAACTGTTGCTGACATGATCAAGGGGAAGACACCAGAAGAGATCCGAAAAACATTTAACATTAAGAATGACTTCACACCGGAGGAAGAAGCTGAGATCCGAAGGGAGAATGCTTGGGCATTTGAGTGAACTTCAAAATTCAAATCTGCCCCTTTTTGCTAGTAGATTCTCAATGTCAACTCTTTTGTGGTAGTAGTAAATATGACTCTTCTAATACTCTATTTTGTTATCGCCTCAGAACGTGTGGTATTTTGTTCGAGAAAAAAAAATATGGGGGAGAAATTGTTCTAGATAGGAATAAACAAAAGATGGTTCCCCTAAATAGAAATCTAAAGGCATTAGTTATTTATATTGTTTTAAGTTTCATTCTTTGGTTTTTAGTTCATTCTTAATTTTTTTTGGGTATTTAATCCGCCTATGGTTTTCCAATCTAGAACACACATTTATTAATCTTCCATGTGTTCCCATTTTTCGAACCACATTTAAGTTTAGACGTTTCTTATGTATTTTCAAGTATCTACATTTCAAAATAATAAATTAAATATTAAAATATAATATGAATAGTTTGATTCTTAGTGCACCAATTAGGGTGTTGAAACATGATAGATCTAAAAGTGACAATAACAGAAAAAATAAAGGAGGATAGAAATAGATTAAAAGGTTTATAATTATAACGAATTGAACTCATTCCTCAGTCAATAAACACTAGCTCTTTTACAGTCTCTCCCAACATGAGATGTAAAACATTAAATATTGAATTGAATGTGTTTCCTTATTCTACAAGATAATAAGTAAACATTATTATTAATTAATTAGTACTATTGTTGCTACATTGCAATTAGTATACTATTTTATTATTTTTACTGTTTTTGATCGTTATCATTATGAAAAATAGAAAAATAACACTTATAAATTTTGAATTGAAAAAATACAACCACGTTTAGTTTTGGACAAAAAGCGACCTCATATACCCCCTCTTGTTTTCCTGTCATCTCCTCATCTCCCCAAAGCTTTTGGTATTCAAGGCAATGACAACAACAAGTATATAGACGATGATGGTCACTACAACTCTAGCAGTGATGAAGATGGCCACCACATCATAGATAAATGAGTTTCTACAAGAGCTTCTACTTTATCGACCCATGTTTGCTTCATTGGTATTTGTCACACTTGAGGCACCTATATGGGATTATAAATGACTTCCAAAGACGACACACAAATACATAATAACCATCATTAAAACCAAGAGGTTGCTTCATGTAAACTTCCTCTTGAAGAGCTGCATGAATGCATTATTGACACCCATTTGACGTGCTAGCCAGCCATGTGAATGAGCAATATTCAAAATGACCCTCTAATGGTGATCAGGTGTATGACCGGTCTAAAGGTGTCAGAATAATCAATCTGTTAGCGTTGATGAAAACCCTTAGCCACCAACCAACCTTTGCAGCGATCCATGAATGTCTTCCAAAGACGGCACACAAATACATAACCATCATTAAAACCAAGAGGTTGCTTCATGTAAACTTCCTCCTGAAGAGCTGTGTGCAATAGGAATACATTATTGACATCCATTTAATGTGTGTAGCCAGCCATGTGAAAGATCAATATTCAAAATGACCCTCTAATAATGACCAGGTGTATGACTGGGTTAAAGGTGTGGGAATAATCAATTTGCGAGCGTTGATAAAAACCCTTAGCCACCAACCAATCTTTGCCGCAATCCATGAAACCATCTGATTATGTTTCACTGTATAGACCCATTCAATCACAACCCACATCACTAGACTGAGTTGGTACAAGATCTTAAGTTCCTTGTCGAACCAAGGCGTCAAATTTTGCCGCCATGTCATTCCACCATTATGATACATGTAAGGCTTGAGAAGCATAAGTGAAAATAATATGATGAGGTAATGAGGGCTGAGTGGAAATATTGACTTGTTTATGAGGTTGAAGGGTCACTGGATGAGAAATTTGGGTGGTGGGTTATTGAGGTGCGGGTCGAGGATTTATGTTGGTAGTGGTATTTGTGGTGGTGGGCAGTGAATGAGGGGGTTGGGCAGGACGATTTTGCTTGGGTTAGCGAACATGCAGTAAATTGTGGCAGTGTGAGTCTTGGGGAGATATGTTAGTCAACTATGAGAGGAGAGGTATGCATATCGGTTTGATTTGAGGTAGTGAATGACATAGTGGGAGATGGGAAATAGATGGCCAAAGCCAGTTATCAACTTCAGAAGATGTGTTCATGATTAGTGTTGTTGGGTTAGAAAATGGGAAGACCGACTCATCGAACGCAACATGTCTGTGTACAAAAATAGGGTTAGTGGTAAAATGATAACGATAAGCACATTGTTAGTCACAATACCCCAAGAAAATACAAGATGTAGAGATTGATTCTAGTTCACGGGTCATGTAAGGAAACATTGACACTAAATAATAGCAAGTTTAGTGAAGTGAGGAGTTTGTTGAAAGAGTTTTTCGTATGTAGTGCAAAAATTAAGTGACAGTGCTGGTTGTCTACTTAAGAGGCGTGAAAGCATGGCAAAGCAAAGCGATTCCAATTTCCACAATGTGACAATGTCGTCGTTTAATGAATCCATTATGTTTTGGAGTGTATGGAGGATTGAGTAAATGAGAAACACCACATGTTCGTGGGAATACATTACCCTAAGAATTTTTCAAGGGTAATGTATTCATCCCCCGTATGAGTAAACCATTATAATTGTGCGTTGAAAAAAGTTTTGTGCAACCTTTTAAAATTGTTTAAAATCTGAATACTTCAGATGAGTAAATAGCAATGATGCAAAACCAAATATATTTAGTGTAGTGATCTTCAAAAATTACAATTCAACAAAAGACATCAACAGAAGTAATACGAGTGAGACCCCAAATATTTGTATCAATTAAATATTTGAGGATGATGAGTGATCAAGATCTCAAGACAACTGTAATATATCACTTAATATATCTTTGTAAAAATCCCAAAGACTTCTTTGACACGTAGATGTTGACAACCAGTCTAACCCCACAAGCTGGATATCCAACATTAAATATTGAGATTTAGTGGCATTTTGTTATGCACCATAAATGTATTGGACGATGAAGGCTCACTCCATTTCAAAGTACATGCTATCTTAGTCGATTTAATTGTCCAAAAAAATAGTATTGTATTAGAAATGGGTTGCACCGATATCTTATATTTGCACCTATAAACTTCTATCACATTAAATATTACAGTATCCTATTTTGAAATAAATCAAAATGCACTAAATGTTAACGTTTGTATATGTTAAAGAGTATTCTACGAATGTTTTGTCAACTCCTCCATCATATCATCTTTATTTTATCGTTTTTATCTACACTACTAAATGTTTTTCACCCCTATTACTTTTTTAAATTCATGCATGCTCCTTATTTGTTGTGCTTTCTATAGGAACCACATCAAATAGAGTTTTCTTTTATTTGTTTAATTTTTTCTATTTGATGTTGCGATTATTGGCTTAAAATGCATCAAATAAATGAATCTTTGGCGGAAAATATTCGCGGTATTTAGTGTCAAATGTATTTGTTGCGGTTTAGCTTTGAACTTCAGCAAATAAGTATTTTATAGTTTTTTGGTAAAAAATATACCTTTTTCCGCAATTATATATATAACTATAGGAAAAAGTGTTATTTTTTCAAAATTTAAATATGTTTTATTGTAAGCTCAGATGTCCAATTGGAACAAGTTTTAATGCCACATATTTTCATGAATTGTGAATTGGAGTTAGTATTAAAACAAAATTATTTTGGAGGAAAAATTATGATACAGAAAAGTAAGTTTTTTAAAAGCATATAAAAGTAAGTTATATAAAAACATGAAAATTGATTTATTTTCCTAATTTTACAAACAAAATAGATTATTTAGCATAACTAATCCGTTGCATAGATTTTGAAAAATGTGTGGTTTAAACAAATATTTTGATCGGATACCCCAATGGGAAACAAAGTGTGTTTTAAAGTTATTGAAAAATCACCTTTTTACTGCAGTTATAGTCTGCAACTTGATACGATTATGGGCTATAATTGCAACAAAAACATGATTTTTTGATAACTTTATATACATCTTGTTTCGTACTTGGCTATCCAATCAGAGCCCTTTTTAAACCGCATATTATTGGTGATCTTTGCAACACTGTATGTAGAATGAGGTAATGATGTTTCTAAAAAATCATACTTTTTGTGCTTTATATTTTTATAACTTACTTTTAAGTATCAAATTGTGAAAACAAATTATATCTATTGAGTACTCGATCAAATCTATATAATTATAATATACCTTGAAAGAATTGTGCATATAATTTTTCTAAATAAGAATTTATTGGATCTAATAGAATTATGCAAGTAACTCACAAGAATTACCCATACGGTTGACTATAAAAATTACAAAAACTATCAATAACAACTACTTTATTCATAATATATACGTTTTTAGAGTATATGTACCATATGCAACATACATGCATTAAGATTCTTAAATGGTATAGCGGTTTTGAAGTAGGTATAGGGTGGTGCTGCGACATGCGCTTGAGGTGTCACATGTTTGAAACTCGTAGGAGGCGGATTTAAGGAGAGACAAATGGATTAGTTATTTTAAACATGAGTTTTTATATGTTTTAAAAACAATCTTTTTGTGGTTATCTACAACCGCATCAAATAGTATTCATTATCGATGCTCTTCATAATCGTTGCAAATAACCGAAAATAATCGCATCAAATAAGGGGTTTTCTAAGCAGTGGCTGTATAAAATGGTTGATAATATTCGGCAATTCCATCACATTTTTACGTTATTCATACTTTATAACCCTTATTATACGTTTTACCAAACACTAATTTCTGATTTTATTGCTAAATTGTTTAATGGTTAGAATAAGTAATTGAAAGCAAACTAATTCAACAAAAACCCAAGAGACAATATCAGTTTGTTGCAGTTGTCCTTACCTGAGAGCAGCAGCAATCCAGAAGCAGTAACACATTATGATGGAAGCAACTCACAACCTATTATTGAAGAACCAGCAACACCAGAGCCCATAGTTGAAAATCCGGCCACACCAGAGCAAGAGAAAACATCTGACATTGAGGATGCATACAATGACGATTCTTATGAAATTCCAACGATTAATCTAAACCTGATTCACTTCGCTCAAAACATCATGGAACATAACCATGTTGAAATGTCAAATGCTTTGGTTGCATTAACACCTGAAGGTGCTTCCATTCCGATGCCTAAACTCAAAAATATTAGTCGGCTCAGAACCGAACATCATGTCTATGAGCTTCCAGATCATCATCCTCTTCTAGATGGGTTGGAAAAAAAGAGATCCAACCGATCCCCTGCTCTTACCTTTTGGCCATGTGGACACCCTGTAAAACTGCAAGCTCTATTCACCCCCCAGAAAGGCTATGTAATTCCCAATAACTTGGCAAGCTATGTCATGAGGAAACTTGCTTTGCATGCAATAGCTTCCGAGAAGCAGAATCTCAAACTGTGCGTGGGACAATTCTGATACCCTGCCGAACAACAATGAGAGGAAGCTTTCCCTTAAATGGCGCATACTTTCAGTTCAATGAGATGTTCGTTGATCATGAATCCAGCCTAAACCCAATTGATGTTCCAAGAGATTGGTTTTAGGATTTACACCGCAAAACTGTGTTCTTTGAAACCTCAATACCAACAATATTCAAAGGTCTGTCAATTGAAGATATCCAACATTGCTTCTGGAGAGGGTGTGTTTGTGTATGAGGGTTTGAACGGAAGACACGAGCCCTCGACCGCTACTGGCACGATTGCACTTTAAAGCCAGTAAAATGGCAAAAATGAAGACGAGTACGGATGAAACCAAGGCATAATTGCAGTACTTTAAGAAAAATCATTTTCCCGCTCAAGTGTCAAATAGACACCAACCGCACGATCCAAAATTAGATCTAACGCTCTTATCATCATTCATTCCCTTTCTTCTCTCCTCCCTGACTCCCTCACAACATATCGTCCTTCCCGTCCTTTCTCACACCACCGTCGCACACCATCGAGTTTACTCCATTCGTAGATGGATGAAAATGCCCTCAACACCAACAGTTCTTCTCTCATCGGAATCCGAGTTTAAAATCTCAAAAGCAATTCTTCCTCGCTCATCCGAATTTATTCGAGTTGAAAAGTTTGGCAACGATTTTTCTTCTAATTCTCTCCGTCCGGATTCGACGCTCAAATCTCCCTTCTTGCAATGGGAAATCATCTCACTTCAGTCACCTTTCATCTGAATTCTCTCCGTTTGGATTCCACGCACAAATCATTGGAATTCAGACCCATTTATCAAGTTCCACAAGTATTTTCATTTTCCTCTCCATGTCCAATTTCCAAGTTCAGAATGTTAAACTTATTCTTTCCCCTTTCATTCTATCACACGTAGGGGTTTGTTCCAGTTCCACTTCATTTTATCACACTTTAGGATTTGTTCGAGTTCCGGCAGGAAGGATATCATCATCAACTTTGGTTCCTGAAATATTCCTTCTTTTGTGGGGGTATGATTGGGGTGCACTTTTATAACCGTTTCAAGACCATGAGCCCTAAATGTACTAACTTATCAAGTGTCTGTGTAGTATCCCTTTTTCGAGATTACATTTAATGCAAAATGATAATTATATACTTTAGAATGTTATTGTTTCTACTATACAGAACATGTCATTATTAACCACTGTGTATATAGTATTACCAGCGGAGTCTTTATAAAAAAAATTATGGCTCTTGTGTTATTACTTTTATTGACACTCCACAGGATTGTGGAGAACTAAGTCATATGAAAATGGGAAAGTATGTAACCCTAGAGTACGGGTCTATTGAAATCTCCTATATGGCTAAATTCTCCATTGGAAATTTAATTTTTAAATTTTCTATGTTTAGAGAAAACAATACCTTCAAACCACAGGATAATGTTGGCTTGAAAGTGCCAATTATCTTTATTGTCATAGGAGAAGGTGGACCTGGAGGTGCTCTTTCTATTGGTTGTGCCAATAAAGTGCTCGTGCTTGTAAATGCAGCCTACTTTATTCTCAGGAGGTACTTAAACTCATACATGTTTGGCTGTTTAGTTGTGATTTTTGTTATCTAGTATTCTTTGATGAAGTCAACATGTAAAAGCTTCGAAACGGTTATGTTCTGCACATTGCGGAGCCTTATAGGTTTGAAGTCCTTCCAACTTTAAGGATATCTCAACTTAGGAATATCCTAAGTTTTTATTCCAGCTTATGATATTTCAACTCAGGGTATTATATTCAAACTTTAACATTGTAGGAATCAAAACAAGAGTAATGCCCCATGGCTTGATGTTGGCTTTGCCCATCTGGAATAGTGTTCTCCAATATGCATTTTCTATTAGCCAACTCAAGTAATATAATAAAGTTTTTAATTAACTAATCTATAAGATGTCCAATTAAGTCAAGCCCAAAAGAGTTATTGTTGTCCAGTTCATCAATAACATAAAGCATATTAAATAGAGATGCTAAAATTGTAAAAGTAAATAATGTTTAATCTTAATGAGACTCTTAATATTGAATAGACTTAATTCTAAATCTATCTATGTTATCTAAATGTCGAGTACTCGCTACCTAGGGGATGGAGTACATTACAATGAATTGTCCATGTCTTTTGATAGCATATTGCCTAACCCACACAGTCTGGGTGTGGGGATGTGCCAGACTTATATGGGAAGGCAATCTTTGTAGTACATGTGTCTAAGTTAACAATCATATGTACCACGAACATGATTATAACACATGGACCTTGTTTGATATTGAATACACCCAAAAATACATGACTTTTAGGCTGGTTAGTTTTCTTCACCCGGTGAAAGTGGTTGGTCGCTAGGGGAAACATAAGGTAGAGTTGAGGTTGAGTATAATTTGATTAATTTCAACAAAAATTGATAGGCTCATAGGTACCCCGGTTGTTTATGTATTTTAAGTAGGGAAAACATAGAAGACCTCTGGATTCCCGAAGCTGTCAACTGTGATTCAACGTACAAAGAAAGTTGTAAATTAGCGTAAAATGAAGAATTAGACACATAGAGCAGTTCCTCCCTCCAAAGTCCCAAGCTAAGATCCCAGTTCAATAAAATTTCTGCCAAACGTACCCCCTCCTTCCCTCATTCCCACTCTTATTGTAATTCTATTATTAAGAGCTAGCCCAAACTCATGAATAACACGACCCAAAACCCTTATTTACACAGTATTGCATTGTTTAAAATTATCCTATTATTCTTATTATTACGGAGACTATCCAGGTCCCCATAAAAAATATACAACATATTTGTTTTATCATTAATGGTGATGGGGGTGGTTCTTTAATATGAATATAGTTTTGTACCTTCTTTAATGTGTTAACAAAAAATGCTTAAATTGTTACAACATGGTGTTCCTATTATATAGTTATCCTTGTATCTTACACATGAGAGTTTGGAAAGAACTTGAATAAGTCTATAAGCAAATTATCTGAAGTACGTAATCTCATGTACGCAATTCTCAAGTACCACATCAATAAATATTAAATGTTCACCATAGTTTTTTAGTTTAATGCTTACACCAACGTCAAGTAATTATTACTTATTCAATACAGATCACATAATAAACATCTTCACCTTTATTGTTATTATTGTTATTATTGTTGTTATTATTATTATTATTATTATTATTATTGTTATTATTGTTGTTATTATTATTATTATTATTATTATTATTATTATTATTGTTGTTGTTGTTATTATTATTATTATTATTATTATTATTATTATTATTATTATTATTATTATTATTATTATTATTATTATTATTATTATTATTATTATTATTATTATTATTATTATTATTATTATTATTATTATTATTATTATTATTATTATTATTATTATTATTATTATTATTATTATTATTATTATTATTATTATTATTATTATTATTATTATTATTATTATTATTATTATTATTATTATTATTATTATTATTATTATTATTATTATTATTATTATTATTATTATTATTATTATTATTATTATTATTATTATTATTATTATTATTATTATTATTATTATTATTATTATTATTATTATTATTATTATTATTATTATTATTATTATTATTATTATTATTATTATTATTATTATTATTATTATTATTATTATTATTATTATTATTATTATTATTATTATTATTATTATTATTATTATTATTATTATTATTATTATTATTATTATTATTATTATTATTATTATTATTATTATTATTATTATTATTATTATTATTATTATTATTATTATTATTATTATTATTATTATTATTATTATTATTATTATTATTATTATTATTATTATTATTATTATTATTATTATTATTATTATTATTATTATTATTATTATTATTATTATTATTATTATTATTATTATTATTATTATTATTATTATTATTATTATTATTATTATTATTATTATTATTATTATTATTATTATTATTATTATTATTATTATTATTATTATTATTATTATTATTATTATTATTATTATTATTATTATTATTATTATTATTATTATTATTATTATTATTATTATTATTATTATTATTATTATTATTATTATTATTATTATTATTATTATTATTATTATTATTATTATTATTATTATTATTATTATTATTATTATTATTATTATTATTATTATTATTATTATTATTATTATTATTATTATTATTATTATTATTATTATTATTATTATTATTATTATTATTATTATTATTATTATTATTATTATTATTATTATTATTATTATTATTATTATTATTATTATTATTATTATTATTATTATTATTATTATTATTATTATTATTATTATTATTATTATTATTATTATTATTATTATTATTATTATTATTATTATTATTATTATTATTATTATTATTATTATTATTATTATTATTATTATTATTATTATTATTATTATTATTATTATTATTATTATTATTATTATTATTATTATTATTATTATTATTATTATTATTATTATTATTATTATTATTATTATTATTATTATTATTATTATTATTATTATTATTATTATTATTATTATTATTATTATTATTATTATTATTATTATTATTATTATTATTATTATTATTATTATTATTATTATTATTATTATTATTATTATTATTATTATTATTATTATTATTATTATTATTATTATTATTATTATTATTATTATTATTATTATTATTATTATTATTATTATTATTATTATTATTATTATTATTATTATTATTATTATTATTATTATTATTATTATTATTATTATTATTATTATTATTATTATTATTATTATTATTATTATTATTATTATTATTATTATTATTATTATTATTATTATTATTATTATTATTATTATTATTATTATTATTATTATTATTATTATTATTATTATTATTATTATTATTATTATTATTATTATTATTATTATTATTATTATTATTATTATTATTATTATTATTATTATTATTATTATTATTATTATTATTATTATTATTATTATTATTATTATTATTATTATTATTATTATTATTATTATTATTATTATTATTAT